ATTCCCCTTGGTCATGGTGTAGAATCCTTTTACATATATTTCACTGGGTTTGGTTTCCTAGGATTTTGTTGGGGAATTTCTTGTCTATGTTTATGAAGGATATTGGTCTCTAGATCTCTTTAGTTGTGATGTCTTTGTCTGGTTCTGATAAGAGGCCAGGGTAATACCAGCCTCGTAGAATGGGTTGGCAAGTGTCTCCTCAATACTGAATTTTGTATGTGGATCTCTAATGATAAGTGATGTTGAGTATCTTTTCATGGGGTTGTTGGCCACCTGTATTTCTTTCTTGGAGTCATGTCTACTCACATTCTTTGCTCATTATTTAATTCTATTATTTGTCTTTATATGGCTGGCTGGCACTTTTTATCGTTGTCACCTGACTTTTGAAATACGTGAGAATACGAGTCCCCTATCAGGTGTGTGGTTGGCAAACCCCAGTTGCTGTCCCAGGTGACGTGGCCTGACCTTCTCTGTAGCTGATGTAGTTGGGATTTTTTTGTTTTAGGTTTTGAGAACATATTTTTTGTTTAAGCAATCTCTGATTTGTTTTCATAATTGTTTGCTCTTTATTGCATTGGTGTGGTGTCATACATATTGCTCTAAAGATATTAAATAGGTATGCTTTTTTTTCTTCTGTAAAAGGCACTTTTGGCTCTATCACCGTCATATCCTTCAGCATCTCTTCTTTGTGGGGCCCATGTTCCTCTAATTTCTGGCACTTGGTTCTTTATTTGAGAGGCTCTGCCGGCTTCACAAATTCCTCAGACGCCAGGCTCTCCTCTTAGCTGTCATATGTCCCAGGATCTGGGAGGAGGTCGTGTCTCTGCCTTTGTGGGAATGTATGGACAAATCCAGGCTCCTTGAAATCATTGCCTCTAAGGAGAGATGGCTCAGCTCAGGCAGCACTGGAAATCACAGTGTTGACAACATGCTGATGTTCTGGTTCCAGTTCTTGGAGCTGACAGGGACATGACTTTTGATCAAGCCACGTATCCATTTCCACGTTCTCTGAAAGGTGATTTCACTTTTCAGTCTTCACCTTACCTCAGAGTCTGCTCTGTGTCAGGAAATACTCTCATAACCATGGGTGTGGATAGGTTGACATCAGTTGTTGTGGGCGCACTTTGCTGCAGCTTCACGGGCACTTAGCACCACTGAGCAGACTGCATTTGAGTTGCTCGTTCATTGTCATTTCCAACGAGAGTGTGAGCTCAGGAGTCCTAGGAGTTGAGTCCAGGTTCCCGACTGTCACCCTCCCACACCCCTTGGTGCAGATGGGGCCTGCCTGAAGTAGAACGTGTGGGCTGTTTCAGGACTCGCTGGTCTTTGAGGACGTGGCTGTGAACTTCACCCCGGAGGAGTGGGCTCTGCTGGATGGTGCTCAGAGGAAGCTCTACAGAGACGTGATGCTGGAGACCTGCAGGAACCTGGCCTCCGTGGGTGAGGACGGCTTCACGCCTTCACTGAGTCTGGGAGGGAACAGGTGTTTCTTGCACTTGTCCTTATTGGGGCCAAGAAAGGGGAATTTGTTTGAAAAAAGAGAGACACAGTCCAAGCCTCCATGGAATCACCCACAGTCAAATAGCTTTTCCAGAAAAACAAAGTTTCATGGATTAAATGGACTTTTTATTTCTTTTGAACAAAAGTCCCCCTAATTTTCTAGGTGTGAGCATCAGCTCCAGTGTCCCTTTGGGGCACTGAGGGCAGCTTTATGGTTTCCACCCCTGTGCCAGTTACACTGGTTAATACACAGGTGACATGGTGGTTTTGCTGTAACTAACCCCACACTCATCCATCCTCACTGGCTTTTAAGACCAAAGTATGGCCCCGTCTCATGGGCTGTTTGTTCCCCTCCGTCCTCCCTCACGGTTAGCTCTTTCCCATGAGCTGTCAGCAGCCGCACACGCCATCCATCTCCCATGGCAGCTGAGGCAGTAGACACAGGCTCCCTCTGGGTCCGTGTGCCTGCACACACCAGGAAAGCAGCCACCCTCGGGAGGAACAGGCTCTGGAGGAGGGAATGATGTTTGGACACGTCCATTAGAAATGTGACTCTGTCACTGTTTGAGACGGGTGACGTTTATCACTTACCGGGCTTCCCTGCTGACTTTTCATCGCTCCTCGCCCGCTGGGAAGACCTTCTGTATCTCCTCTTACTAAGGGAGCATTTGGGGGTCTGCCGTTGCCCAATTCCTTTGTACTTTGCTTTTCTGATATTTAATCTCCACATCCCTCTCCAATTGTTTTGAGGTATTTCTTAGTGTACAGTCCACCATTTTGACTTATTTCCCTACTCTGCCAAGGTCCCAGGTAGCTGAGGTCCTTACTGTTGCTCTTTTTTCTCATCTCCATTTTTCCTTGTAACATTTGTTCATATTTTTGGATGAGCGTATGAAAAGAAATCCACGTATGCTCTTATTTTTTGCCTTTATCCCACCATTTCTTTCCCAAGAAATTAAATTATTTTACCAATTCTTGCAGATTGTTGCACTCAAGTTAAAACCAACGGATCAAGTCCTCAGCAGGATGTTTTCAAGAATAAAATATTCAGTAAAGAGAAAATAGTAATGTTCACAAGAAGTGATCCCTGGTCTGTTTTTGGAGAAAACTGGGCATTTCATAGCATTGAAGATCAGTGCCAAACCCAGGAGAGTTGTTTGAGGTGAGTGGCATTCCCGCAGGAGGAAGGGATTGGAGGAGACAGTTAGACTGACTTGAAGTTACGGAAAAATTAGAAACCTAGCTAAAAAGTTGTGTCCCCAGAGAATTTTCACAAGATAAGATTTTCATCAATGTGATGTAGATATGGAGCGTCTCGTGAAACAATAATCAGGAAACCCCATGCGTAAGATACTGAAAGCTATGGCTATACTTGAGTTGTCAGCCTGAGCATTGAGCCTGTTTTACTTTGTTAAAATACAGACAATACTGAGAACATACCCATTCACTGAAAATGAGAAATACTCAAAATAATCAACTGTAAGTAAAGTCATTAATAAAGAAATCACTTATAATCAATCCCTCACAGTGTGCCTCCCATTTTGAACAGGAGCCATTTGCTGGAGAGTCTCCATGGATGTAATGGAGGTGATGGCTGTGGAGAAACCCTAAAGCAGATTACAGACCTTCCTGTGCATGAGAGGTGTCCAGCTGGAGTTAAACCCGGTGAATGCACGAAGTGTGGAAAAGCCCTCAGGGATTGTTCTCTCCTTAAGAATCGGCAAAGACCTCACACTGGACACAAACCTCATCCATGTGAGGAATGTGGGCGGGCCTGCAGTTGTGTCTCGTGCCTAAGCACTCATGTGGAAACAGACATTGTAGAGAAGCCCTGTAAAGGACGGCAGGATACTAGGAGAGCATCTAAGAGACATGTGAAGAGTCTCCGTGGTAAAAAATCTTTCGAGTGTAACGAATGTGGGAAAGTTTACACTTGTGCCTCATCTTTCTGGGGACATCTGAGAGTTCACACTGGAGAAAAAAGCCACACATGTAAAGTGTGTGGGAAAGCCTTTATATATTACTCCTACCTGACACGACACATGAGAACGCACACTGGAGAGAAACCCTATCAATGTCAGGAGTGTGGGAAGGCCTTCAGTCGCCCCTCATACTTTAGAGAGCATGTGCGACTGCACACTGGAGAGAAGCCCTATGAGTGTGAGCACTGCGGGAAAGCTTTCCGTTGGTACTCATACCTTCGAGAACACACGAGAACTCACAGCGGAGACAAACCCTATGAATGCAGGCAGTGTGGGAAGGCCTTCAGGTATCTCAAGTGCCTGCGAGGACACATGAGAAAGCACACTGGAGAGAAACCTTTCGTCTGTAATTTATGCGGGAAAGCCTTCAGTTGTCCTAAATACTGTAAAAAACACGTGAAAACGCACAGTGGAGTGAAACCCTATGAATGTACGGAATGTGGGAAAGCCTTCATTTGTTCCTCATCCCTTCGAGAGCATGTGAGAATGCACAGTGAGGAGAAGCCTTATGAGTGTCAGCATTGTGGGAAAGCCTTTAAGTACCTCTCGTCCCTGCGAGGACATGAGCGAACGCACAGTGGGGAGAAGCCCTATGAATGTCAGGACTGCGGGAAAGCTTTCAGGCATCTCGTCTCTCTGCGAGGACACATGAGAACGCACAGTGAGGAGACACCCTATGTGTGTCAGCACTGTGGGAAAGGTTTCCGTCACCTTGGGTCCCTGCGCGCACATGTAAGAACACACACTGGAGAGAAACTCTCAATATAAAGACATATATTTTATCTCAGACTATAAATAATTGTACACTTACTCTAACACTTGTCTCCTTTCTAGTACAACATCTTTTGGACCCACGGGTAATGTGTTTTTGCTTTTTTTTTTCCGTGTGCAACTTGATATAATTTTAGATAAAAAGTTTTGATTCTTTCCATTATGATCCTACTATGTGGTGATGATGTGAGACCTGTATTGTTGAAATTTCTTTTCTGGTCCACTGTGGCAGATACTGGAATCTTCCAACTCCATATCCACCTTCCCTTGTAGTCTTTATTATTGAAAGATGTGTCTCTACACTTGTTTGTTGCTAGTGGGTACCACATCTCTGTTTCTCACAGACATTAGTAACTGGGGAAAGATCTGGAAAGTGCCATCTGGTTATGTTCATAATTGGACTCTTCTCATTGTCCTTGATCTTGGTTGGAAATTGTCACGATGCTTTGAGTTCAGAAGAGAGAGTTGTGGCATGAAGATGGAGCTGGTGTCCAGATGCTTCTACTGAACTGTGCTGTCACTTTGGGGAAGGTGGGAAACCATGTATCCCAGAGTCCTTCTGTTTGTGGTTCTGAGTTGAAGTGCCCGAGCAGAGGAAGACACATGAGGTTTGGAAAGTGGAAGTGCAGAAGCCATGATTGTCAGTTCTCCTGTCCCATCAGGAGACAGAGGTGTGTGGGAACCTAGGGGCCTGTGTCACAGCACACTTTTCTGACTCCTGGCTCTGCCCATCTGGAACAGCCCCCAGTCAAGCACCATGTTTGACGTCAGTTCCCTCCTAAGCAGTAGGTTCCACAGACTTTCCCACAAGCTCCCCAATCATTGATCCTCTTTCGTTTGTAGGTTCACACAATTCCTTGCATTTTCCTGAAGCTCTTTGGTGACTATCAGGCCACTTGTTCATGCTGTCACACAGTGACCTTCTCTCATCCTTGACCCCCTTCATCTCCAATGCTTCTCCTAATGACATGAATTCTGTAGGGAGTATCTTGTTCTCTACTAGTGGATCTGTTTCCTGCCTCCACCCTCACAGATTTAATGCTGCAGCCACAAATGCAGGAAACTTCCTTCCCTGGTTGCATTGTTGCGAGGCTGCAGTAATCTTCCATTTCTTCTTTCTGGATATTTCCATGATTGAAAGCAGCATTTGTGAATGTATCTGGCAATTTGTGAGCGTTTTCTCTTACATCTGACTGCTCTCTAAATGATAAATGCAGTATGTTTAGTTACTTTCCATTTTTATATGTGATTACCCAGTGTTTAGGTCTTTGACATTTTTGTGGGATAAAGATTGTACCTGAGCTAACATCTCTGCCAGTCTTCTGTACTTTATGTGGGATGCCACCCACAAACTCAGAAAGTGCTGTTCTATGTTTCATTAATGGAGGATTGGTTATAAAATTAAGTTATTTTTGTAATTGTGTCAAATTTTCTATATATATTCTGGGATAATAGTATTAAATATATAACTTTTGAACTTTTTTTGTTCTGGTATGTTTTTCTTAACTTCCTATGCAGCTACAAACTTTTTTTCATTACACTGTCTTATTCATTCCTAATAGCGAAAACCTAAATGTTCCTCATGTCAGTAGTCTCCAGGCAGAGATCCCCAGGAGTCAGGCTCCTGCAGATGAGCAGCGTGGGAGGCAGAATTGGACACACATCTTCCCTAGTTCCCTGTGGACAAGTAGAACCACCAGCGTTCTTGGTGAGGTGAGCACTTAGTTGCGGTGGGAATGAGTTAGGAGAGGGAGCTCCAGTTTACAGACATAACCAACTTGAGTGAACTACTGATTCCTGGAAATGCTGCTTCTAAATGTTTGTTCTCCACAGAGCTCTCAGTGGCTTAATGTGAAAGCAATACAAGAATAGAGACATCTTCTCAGTCTTCTTGTTGCTGGTAATTGTGCTGAATATCCACGGGCCATTTGCCTACAGATGGGTAACTGATTGCTGATGCTCCTGCCCAGCGATGTTCCCTTGTGTTGTTTCCACTGTATGACAGTGGACCCTGCTTTTTCTCTTCATTCTGACCACTTACAGTTCTGTTGCTCTGCCTCCATTGACAAAGGTCACTTCCTCCCTCTGTGTCAGATGGCCTCTAGGGATCCTTCTCTGGCCCTGGCCATGGTGGACGTCTTGTTGTATTTTGAGTGGACCTTGTAGGGGTTCATGTCTCAGAGGATGTATAAGGTGACTAGGCCCCCAGGCACTTAGAGAGGAAACGATCAGTAAAGGTGTCTGTACAGCCTTTCCAGAGATGATGCCTGTACCTAAGGGATTCCAACCAGTGTCAGGATGAACTTGCCTCTCAAGTGTCATTGACTCAGCAGGGGATCGCTAGTCATGTGCAGCCACAGAGGAGGCACAGGAAGACTTAGGAAAACAGTTATTATACCTAAATCCTAGAGAGACCATCACTGCACCCTAAGAAGGGATGACACCGGTGGAGTGCCGAGGGAGTGGGTGTGTCTGAGCAGGTTGGGAGCAGAGAGCTTGAGGATCTGTGGGCAAGTGCCTGCACAGCTTACATTAGTGTGGAAAATAACTCTGTTTTGAGCCTAGAGTGCATGACATATGAGGAATACTCAATATTTGGCACCAGACAATGAGTATGGACTCAGAGAGGGTAGGGTTTTGTCACGATCCTGGGTTGGTTCTTTCCTAGCTTGGTGACCTCTGGCAAATCACCTGTATTCACAGTTTGAGTTAACTCACCCAAGGAAATGATAAAGTGGCTACCTCATAAAGTTTGCTGAGGAAGAAGTTGATTTATATATGGTAACTTAGTCACTGTATGGAAAACACTTCAAACAGTGCCCCATACATAGAAATACGTCAGTGTTTACATAGCCAATGAGAATCGCAAAGGCAACCCCAGACACCTGGAAGCTGGCCTGACACTCACTGCTGGGCTGGGGCTTCCTCACGTTGAGCAGAAACACTTTCACCAGCTCTGTCATCAGATGAGGCAAATCTATGACTGCGATGGGTCAAGAGAAAAGAAACAGCACATTATAATCATGTCCACCAAAAGGGTAAAATTTATGGCCAAGTATTTTATATACTTTTTCAAAAGTTTTTTTTGATAGACTTCCCCAAACCATAAGCTAAATGACGTCTTTTTTGAGTTGGAACATTCCAAAAGATTTGCTAAACTAATTAGGCTTATTTGACATGTTATAGGAAACATTGTGAAATAAGAAGTAACATTAAGCCGCCTTCTTGTTGTGTTTGCACAGGTATATAAATATTCTATAAATTATCTGAAATTCCTAAAAATCTGATATGTCTTGATATAGCATTATCAGTCACCACTCTAGTTAATATTTTAAAATGTTGCATGTCACAGAAATAACCAAATTTGTCAGTTGCATTATAACGCACCATTTTGAAGTCCTTTGCCATTGATACTTACTCTGATGCTTTTGCAAAAATGCTTCTTAGAAAGGAAACTCATAAAAGGAAACTGAGTTTCAGCAAAGTTGAGGCTCACACTAAAAGGACTGAGCCTGAGCAGCAGGAGAAAGCCTGGCTCACTTTCATGCAAAGGCAGCAACAGCACAATCTATAAAGATAGTGGCACATGTGGACAAAGTCCATTCTGCCCCTGCAAAGAAGAGCCCCTCGTGGCCAGACTTTTGCCATTGTGATGTCCTTGTACCATGGCAGCAGTCTGCTCCTGGATCAGAGAAATGAAGGTGGGCAGACACTGGCTGTAAGTTCAATGAACAGTTAGGTCCATTGGAAGTTCAAGACAGCCTCTTGTTTCTTCCTGCTGACCTGGGAAACCGCCATTTTTCAGTTTTTGCATTCCTTCACCCATTATAGTGCATTAAAAACAGCTCTTCCTGCCCTGGAGGCCTCAGACCTCCTCCCGCTGAGCCCTTGGAGCATCTGCAGCTGGATTTCATTCAACTGAGACTTAATATGGGTTGTCAACGTGCTCTTGTTCCTGGATTATGTTCTCCAGATGGGGTAGAGCCTTCCCCTGCCACCAGGCCGATGCCCTCACAGCGGCAAAGAAACTGTCTGAAAATGTCTTTCCCACGTGGGTCATATCTGCCAGTTTCCAGTGATGGAGCACCCACTTCACTGGGCAAATCATACGAGCCTTAATGAAAACCTTGACACCACCTTGGAACCCTGTCCCTGTCCCCCTCAATCGTCGGGCAGAGTTGAGGACACTAACGGAAAAGCTGGATTCAAGCAGGACAAGTATTAATTCCATGGGACGGCATAAACTGAGGGGTGGGGGGGTGTATAATGTTTTGTTTTCCACAGATTTAAAGAAATCTTTTCTCTTTAGTAAGATACATTTGTGAACAAAGATAAACTATTTCATTTTTCTCTCTACCTGATCTCTCCAAAATTCAGAAACTCTCCCTTATATAAATAATCAGGCCAAATTTTAATACAAAGAAGTTACCTTACCTGTGACTATCTTTGGTAAAAGAAAAATGGGAGTCATTGTAGGGAGAATCATGTTTGCACCTTTGTAGACATTAGAGTCTGGCCCCGTTGCTGGTATTTGAGGTTTTGCTCTATTCCTGCAGACTGGACTCTGGCCTAAGGTATCGCTCTGGGTCTTGCCGACTGTTCGCAGTGCCCCGTTTGGAAAACAAACTCACCCACAGGAGCTGGCCTGCAGAACAATGCCTATTGGTACATGACCTTCTGCTGATGCCCCATTGTCTCATATGACAGCTACTGTAGGTCTCCAATGTCTTATACTCCAGCCTGTCACCAACAGGTTAAAGCAGCTCTCCCAGATTCCAGTTGAAAGGATCCTGTTAGTCACAGTCTAGAGCCTGGGGACTGGTCATCTGGAAGGTTCCTCAAAGGAAGACGGCCCTCGAGCCCCATTGGAAAGGCCCTCCTGAAGGTCTCCTGACCACTGACTCTGCCTAGAGCTAGAAGGCACTGAGCATTGGAGAAATCTCACAGTGAAGAAGTCCCCACCTGGCATCTGGTCCTGTCCTGGTCCTTGGATCTGTTTTGGGGGAGCGACTTTGGTTCTGAGCGTTATTCTAGGTCCAAATCCTCCTGTCTGCACATGCGTCAGCTCCAGGACTGGCAGTGTCGCCTCCCTGCCCCTGCAAGATAATTCGCAGTCTGTTAGTGATATGATAGGGCCAGTTAGAACCAGCCCCCTGGTTACAAAGTGACTCCTCAGAATTACCATCAGGAAAAGGGAAAAAGCAGTTTCTCCCTCCTGTGGGTCATGACTCTCTGTGACAGGTGCATCCCAGCCACACGGGACTAAACTCTATGCTGGACCAGCAATGCTCTCAGAAAGAATTCTCCATCGAATGGGTCAAATGTGACACGTGAAAGAAAACAGTGTCACTTCTGTCGAAGGGCTTTAAAATGGAGCCGGGAACCATTAAGGAAGGAGAGTCGTGCACGTCCTCCTCAGGCAGGACATAGACCTCTGAGCTGAGTGAAGACAAGTATTCTGAGAACTCCGCCAGAAAGCTGCGGCTCCTCCCACTGAGGGCCTGCTGCCTCCCTGGAGCTGCCTGAGCCACCGATTCGGACCAGCCAAGACCCGCTTTCTGGGGCCAAGTCCAGAGAACATTCCGTGATGCAGAGGCCCCTCTCTGGTCTTTACGAGCCCCCGCCTCCTCCCCGCAGGACACGGTTTGTGTGGCTCCCTCGATCTCTGCGCCCCGAACGGCAGTTCTCTGACCCCAGAGTCACGGCCTCTCTGCGTCTCACTTGGACCCCGTGTAACAGGACCGAGAACCTGACCCGCCATCGACTCCCCACAGTGAACGCGGCCCTGAGCGTCCTAACGCCTCGCGCTGGACCCGCGGGGGAGGAGCGAGCCTTCCCCAGATGAGGGTGGGCCGGGCGGCGCCCACGGCGGGAGACGCGAGCACCGCGAGCATCGTGTCCGGGCTCGTTGGCAGAGCCGCAGGGACGCGGACGCGAGCAGCCCGCTGACGGCGCCCCCGCCGCCCCGCTGAGCACCAACCGGACCGACGGCCGCCTTTAGGGTCACGGACTGAACCCCACCGCCCGCGCCACACGACAGCCCCCCAGTTCACACGCGCGGCCACGAGGAAACACGCGGGCAGGCGCGCCTGCGCAGACGGCGCTGACCCCTCAGCCCCACGGCCGCAGGCCCCTCCCCCTCCTGCAGCCCCGGGTGGCCCCGCGCTCGTCGCGCCTGTCGCCGTCGGGAGCTGGGACCACGGCGCCCGCGCCGCTCCCTCGCCCGCTGCGCAGCGACAGCCCCGCCTTCTCCCGCGGCGCCGGGCGGAGCGGCGACCACGAGCCCGGACAGCGACCCCCGCAGCTCGGTCCCACCCGGGCGGCCGCGACAGTCCTGCGCGCGGGCCCCCTCCCCACGGGGCGGCGGACCCGGACCGCGGGCTGCGGACCCGCAGCCCCAAAGGGGGCCGCGTCAGAGGTCACCGCCACACCCAGCCCACCCAGCCTCGCCCGCGGGGACGTCACTGTCAGGGGTCTTTGTTCTTAAACCAGGTCACAAACCCACCGGGAGTCCCGCCCTGGGCCGAGCACCCAAGTGACCGCGCCCCCTGTCCCACCGGTCCGAGTCCTGAGGAGGGGCGCTCCAGGGAAACTGAGGACTGCCCGTTCCGGGAGGAGGAGGAGGAGGGGCTGCGGAGTCGCAGGCAGAGGCAGGAGGTCCCCGCCAGGAGCCTGTGCTCCGACAGCGCCACTCGGGCGGGCGGTCCGCGTCCCTGAGGAGGCGAGGCAGGGAGCGCTGAGGGGCGTCACCGCCGTGCCCGCCTCCCTCAGCCACGTGACCTCCGCCCCGCCCATCACTCACGCTAGCGACGGGAACGCTGTCCAATCAGGGACGACGACGCGCGGAGTGAGGCAGCGGTGCTGGGGCGGGACCGGGATCGCTCAATCAAGGCACAGAGGAGGGTCTTGGAGAACTGTCCAATGAGGGCCCTGTGACATGCCAGAACATTGTCCAATCAGACTTCCCAGCAGGGTGAGCGCCTGAAATACGGCCCAATCAAAATGCAGCAGGCTGGAGCACCGCCCAATCAGAGCGCGGGGCGGGCACTCTCGCAACCGCGTGGGAGTCGCTCTCTGCAGTTGGCCTCCCGGGGCGCACCTGCCCCGCGCGGCCCCAGGTGTCCCGTCCCGTCGCTGTCACCTGCCGGGGCCGCGGGGAGGACGTGCGGAGAGTCCGGAGCGGGCGGAGATGGTGAGTGCGCGGGCCGGGCCGAGACCGGGAAAGGCTGGTTCGAACCGGCGGGAACCGGCTGGAAGCGGCCGCGGGCCGGGGTCTCCCTGCGCCCCCCGGGGTCCCCCCGACTCCCCGCCCTCGGCCGCGGGGTGGGTCCCGGCGTCCCGTCCCGGCTCCGCGTGGGCGTCCCGGTCCCACCCAAGTCCTTGTCCGGGCGGGGTCCGAGGGGGCGGGACGACCCCGGCTGGCGGTCAGGGCTGGGGCGGCGGGGCGGCGGGGCGGCCGCGGGGTGGGCCTGCCTGACCTGACGCTGAGCCCCGTCCGGACTGGGGGCCGGAGACTCGGTTCCGAAGACGGTGGGACGGGGCCGAGGGCGGCTCTCAGGTCCTCCAGCCCCGAACCCCCCAGCAAAGGGCTTTCCTCTGCCGGGCAGGAGGGGAGCAGGCAGGCGGGCGGCATCGCGCGTGGGGTCGGTGGAGCCGAGTGTGCCGCGCGCTGAGTGAGTCTGTGAAGGTCACACGTGGGGCGGGCTCCCGGGGGTCCCTGCTGGTGAGAGGGTCTGTGAAAGGAGCGTCTATACGGGGCGGAGCGGGAGCTCGGAGCGGCTCCTCTTTGCTGAGAAGGAGGCCCGGGAGGAGGGGCGCGTCCGCCCTGAGGAGGGAGCCGGGCTGAGCGCAGCCCTGGGTTCTGTCCCTCCCGCCCTGGGAGGGGCCGCCTGCCCACCTCCCCGCGGGGCGACCCCGCCCAGCTCAGGACCAGGTTCCACCTCCTGCCTTCCGTGTCCTTGTCGCTGTGGAGCAGGTGCTGCCCTGCGCTGGCTCCCACCGCGCTGCTCCTCCTGGTGTGTCCTTGACGGGATCTGCGCCCTGTGACCCCAGGGCGCCCCAGCGCCTGGACTTTTGTTGTGTCACATGAAGGTGTAAGGCTTTTATTTTCTTGGTTGGGTGGTGGCATCTTCCAGCGTGCTGCTCCCCCGGGTGACCACCGTCCTGCTTCTTTGTGTTTCTCTTTGTGGCTTTCCGTCTGTGTTCCCTCACCAACCACGGCTCTGTGTGGTTCCGCCTCTGCTGAATTTGCAGGGAGTGAATATCACCAGGAACACAGCATCCATGTCACATGGAGGGCCTCTCTGTGCTTCCTCAGCCCCAGTCTGTGTCACACGTGCTGGCGTCGTCTGAGGCTCGAGGCACTGCGTTCCCTTATCCACTCTAGTCCTTGTGAGGCCTGGGTCATTTCTAGTTTATTTTTTCCTTTTGTTGGCAGTGCTGCCACAGTGCTGCCTTGTTTTTATCTCCAAGTGCAAATGCGTTGTAAATGTCTACATGTTGCAGAAAAATTTCAGGGTTGTAGATTATGGACGACTTCACATTTACTCGGAAACGCTGGTGGAGGAGGGTGCGCATCGACTGTCTTACTGTTGGACACGCGTGTTTATTCCACATCATCCCCAGCACTTGCAGTTAACTAACTTTTGTCCATCTCGAGTTTGTGAAATCGATCTCCTTTTGATTCCATATTGGTTTGTACTGATTCCCCTTGGGGCTGAGCATTTCTCATGTAACATTTTGAAACCAGTGGACAGTTAGCCGTTACTGATGGCATGGCCAGTGACTTGGGTTTTTTTAGCAGCTACTAATTGTAGCTTTTAGTGTTTGCCTGCCTATCCTTAGTTGTTCTGTCTGTTATCCTTTAGGCAATCTATTATCAGACGCCCACTAGGTTCCCACAGATAACATCTCCCTGACACCTGGGTCACCATGGTAACAGAAGCCAGAGTTACTTTTCAGGAACTGACTCAACCCCTGTCCAGCCAAGGCCGGTGGAGACCAGCAAACCACCAGTTGGGGCTGCATAGGTGTCTGATACGTGAACTCCTGAAATATGAAATCTGTTTGTATCCTGCATTATATGTATTTTAGGACTTAAATAAAATTAGTTGTAATAATAATTAGTTTCAAAAGTCTATATTTACAAAGTTCATTTTAAAAAGTTGCTGTTGAACTGCTTGTTTGTAGGATTCAAAATACACTTTTTCTGAATTTGAATTCTGGAAGCTTTCTCAACATCTGATTCTGTGATTATCTTCATATTCTTTCGTGTGTGGCATGCACATTCATTGTGCTATGAATAAAGGGGAAGTTTTTCCTTTGTTACAACATTTTTTCCTGGGAAAACGACAGCATTAGTTTCCTCTATTCATGATTTTTTAGAGATCTAGCCTGTACGGCAGGTCAGCATTGGAGAGGTTTCTCTGTCTGTCATTGCCGAGAGCTCATGGTGAGGAACACATTTGCATACTGAGGGTCCCACCCTCAGGAGCTTCCCAGATAGAAACTGAAATTGGTCCCCATGTGTGTAGGACGGGGAGAGACCTAAGAAAGGGGCAGACCACTCCAGATTTTACGTGGCAGTTTTAACGAGCATGGAAGCTTAAGAGGCTTGTCTTATGCAGCCAAAAGATGAGTAATTTTCTGCTCCCACCCACCAAATCTTAACGTTTATTTGAGGCCTTAACTGTGCTCTGTCACATATACTGTCCAGATGGTCTCAAGAGCACATCAGTATCCCAAGGCTGTGTCCTTGGGGCATCTTCCCAGAGCTGGGAAGAGAAGTGGAGCACACATTCCGAGCACAGAGGACGGGGCGGGGAGCCCCCAGGTGCCTGGGTTTAGGTCCAGGGTCAGCCCCAATTATGTCTCCTTGATGACCTCCGCCAACAGAAACTTGAAAACACTCTGAAAAGAAACCAGACTTTGAATGTGTTTTTATGTTAAACCATCCAGAAGACCTTAGTTATTAAACTCAAACAACTAAGAACACAGAATAGGAGACTAATAGGAATTTCTTTTCTTTCTTTCTTTTTTTGGTGTGTAAACTATTTTAATAGGAATTTATTAAACTCATTGTCTCCAACAACAGAAAACTGACACCTGAAGGCATGCTCTCCTCCCAGCCTGGTGTGTGCAGCAGAGACACATCTTTCCAACAGGAGCCAGCACTTGTCCTCAGTCACTGGGCACATTCATCTCGATATCCTCCTCTTCCACATGCCACTGAGAGAGCTTATGACCAAGCACCTCTTGTCCCCACCAAGAGACAAGTGTAAACAGATATATGTGTACTAAGGAGGAATTTTCACCTTTGAAAAATAAGATGGAACGCCAGGAGGATTTCGTATAAATATCCAGTACAGGTATTTAAATGTCTAGGAAGCAATTTCTGTTTCAGTATCAGAGAGAAAGATGAGATGAAGATGAGTTAAGAAGAGAAGTCTGTTAATATGAGGCATGCAGTGGAATAATTATTCACTCAGTATTTTCCTCCATTGGCATGATAATTTGAGGAGTCATACACCTTGAAACATTATCACATGCACTAGAGTAAGGTCTTATAAATTAGTGCTGATTATCAATTACTCCTCATGTTTGTCCATTTTGAGAGCTCAGCAGCCTTCATAAAGTACACTCACACACAACATGTTCACCTTTTGTGAATGTAGGTTTGTGAAAATAATTCAATACACCACATCTCTCCATGAACTGTCAGCTTACAGCATTTCTTACCTGAGAGACATCCCAAGAATAGTGTTTCATAGAAAGCCCCCTCCCCACTAGGAAACAGTCATGAAGGATTTTGAATCACTTTACTCTTTAAAGGACGTTCTTTCCTTGTCTCCAAGTCCGGGCGCCATTCATCCTCTTTAGAGCCAGTTGTGTTGAAAGGCTTGTGAGATAATAGAAAACATGCATTGTTGTCGGCCCCCAGCTCCTGACACCCTTGGAATTTCCTGGGCAATAGGAGCGTCCTTTGTTCTGATGAGGCTCCTGGAGGAGGATTTGTCACTGGAAAGATGAAGCCATGAGTAGAAGCTTGGGATTTTTAGTCCTGCCCCCACTGTCTTGAGAGGGGAGAACACCTGAAACTGAGTTTAATGATTGATGATGTGTACGTGATGAAGCCTCCGTAAAAGTCCCAATAGGGTGGGGTTTGGAGAGCTCCCGGGTTGGTGAACAGATGGAGGTGTAGGGAGAGTCGCAGCTGTTATATTCGAATTCTGGGTTCATCATTTTTGAGACCCACCAGACTGTCTTCCAAAGTGCCTGCACCATTTACATGCCCGTGAACGATGGATGAGCTTCCCCCTTGCTCACATCCCGCCAGCACTTGCTCCATTTCTGTAGTCAGTGAACAGGGGTCTGCTTGGAGCTTTGTTTTACATTTTCTTGCTGGCTGAGGGCCAGCATCTGTTCATGTCTTATTGGCCATTTTTATT